TGCATTTATCATTAAACCCAGGCCAACTACCCCTTAGTGCCTGGGAACTGCTGCATTCATTTGCTCTACCTGAATTTGACTAATGTTGATCTACTGAATCTTCAGTAAGAAAATGTATTGGCTATAAAAGGCATACACAAAAAAAATCTGTTTCGAGAAAAAGAAGTTACTCAGCCTGCACAGTGCCAGAAATCCTTTTTATTTAAACCTTTGTAATACTTTACTGGAAACTAAATTGCACTAGTGAGGGTGTTACATCATCAGTCACAGTAAGCATTAGAGAACTCAGGGACAATTCAGAACATTTCAACAATAATTATGACATTGCCATCTTAATGAACAATAACTGTGTGCACCATTAAATGTACAAAAATGGAAAGTAAACTAAGGAATCTGCCCTGCACTCACACACTGTTTCTGACAGCTCCATAACTATTACAAATATTGCATTGTTACTTTTTCTCCTTTCCCAGTTTCAACTAGTTTTCTCATGTGATCATCTTTGAATGTGCCAGTATGTTAAGATTTTCTAACTTTATGCTTTCAGTTGAAGTGGCTGGAATTTCAGGCAAACACTACAATACCCTCTAACCTTTGGCAACAAAGCTTACACTTCCTCTGTAGAAGTGGACCAAAAATAGCATCGTCTACAATAGCTTTTGCTTATCAGCTGCAGACCAGAATATACCAGCTGGGACTGAAAAGATTTGAGTTTTTCTCACTAAGATAAGATCATGCACCACAACTCCGTTTCTCTGAGTATAGAATATAGTTCCTTTCTTCCTCAGAGTGATTGTTCAGATGGGCTAATACATATCACTTGTCACAGTATCTCTAAGAGTATCGCAGAAAAAACTTTGTCCTGGGCACTCATCATTCAACTCAATCTTGTCTTGATGGGAGGCAGAACACTCAGCTATTCTAACAAATCCCAGAAAGAGATGGTGTGAAAGTTAGCTCCACCTTAGACTCCCACTGATAGAAAAAAGAACAAGAAGGTAGAAATGAGGCACAATAGTTCTTCTTATTAAATAGATTACTTACTATTACTGAATAGTTGACTGGTATTTTACTGTTAAAGAGATTATCTCTCTGATAAATCATCACAGAGAGTCTTAATAGTCACCTCTCATTTAAACACCAGTATTTGAAAACTGGTGGATGTTTTAGTAAATCTCTAAATCACACAACTGCAGGGAAGTGTTAACCTCAGCCATGCACCCCAAAATGATGGTGCTACCACATCTAGTACTGAATCTGACGCAAAAAAAATTCTTTAATTGTGCTCTGAATATATTGTTCACTGCCTACAAACCTTCTTTTTCCCCATGTTGAACAACATTGCTATTGAGGGTCACTACAGGTCTCCAGTTGCCTTAGAACTCTTGCCAAACTAAGCTAGAAGTTACTCAAATTTCACTATTTGGAAAAAAATAAACCAAAAAAAACCTAACCAGAAATAGGAAAATTGCTTTTTAACAGAGTGTAAAAGAACACTTGCTTAATATGAACGTGTCCAGAAGAGCATGAGGTAAGCAAACGAATTCTGATCTAATGACAGAACTAAGCAGAGTAGTCGAATGCATGCTTAAGTCATAAATCTCCTTATTTTATTATACACCAACATCTCCCTGACAAGTATTTTAGCTATAATAGGTATGTTTTTGGAAAAAAAGAGAGGAAAAAGGGACTATTTATATCACAGAAGAAGTTTTTGGTGTTTTTTTTTTTAAAGTATCTTCTAAGCCATTTGTTATTATGAATGGTTCTGATTCTCATTTTGTATGATTCATGGCAGAGAAGTTGCCTACAACTTGGTAAACTTTGCTGATAATAATGACTTGGGCATTAAAGAGTCAAGCTTCATCAAAATAATCCTAGCATATAATGGTTTGGTTTGGAAGGGACCTTAAAGATCATGTAGTTCCACCCCCCTGACATGGACAGAGATACATTTCACTAGACCAGGTTGCTCCAAGCCCCATTAAATCTGGCCTTAAACACTTTCAGGTATGAGGCATCCACAATTTCTCTGGGCATCCTGTTCCAATGCCTCATCACCTTCACGGTAAAGAATTTCTTCCTAATATCTAATCTAAACCTACTCTCTTTTTGTTTGAATCTTTTCCCTCTTTTAAATAGTTCCTCTCAATCTTTCTTGTAGATTCCCTTCAGGTACTAGAAGGCTGCAATTAGGTCATCCTGAAGCCTTCTCTTTTCCAGGCTGAACAATCCCAATTCTGTCAGCCTGTCCTCATGGAAGAGGTGATCCATCCATCTAATTGTCGTGGTGGCCTCCTCTGGACTCACTCCAATGGATCCATGTCCTTCCTGTGCTGGGATCCCAGCACTGGATGCAGCACTGCAGGTGGGTGTGCATATATGAGTGTGCCTTTCTCTCTCATTATTGATCTCTCTAAGTGATATCTTCCAATCTGCAGTAACAGAGCTGTCAGATGTCTGATATGCAAACAGAGGAAGAGCAGTGGAACAACTGAACTAGACCAACTGGTGTTCGTCAAATATGAGCAGCCAACTTCCAGGCTTAAGGAAGAGCTTACATACTTGGGAGTATTTCCTTTCTGTTTCTGATGCAATCAGAGAAATGCAGCAAATATTTTGCTAAAAGCTTGTCATAATATTTTGTAAAAACCTTTCCCCCCATTGTATCCATTAGCTTAAAAAAATTAACTTCTCTTAACAAACTTTGCCTCTTTTAGAAAAACTTAAAAAATAGCAGTTTACCTGTGCATAATACTATAAAAGCAAACAGCTGGCACTATCTTGGAATGAGCCCTTCCTGGACTTGACTGGGAAGAGCTAGAATTCCTTCAGAGAGAGATGGAGACATAGCTGTGCATGATCTTTCTTCCATTTTTCCCATTTTAAAATAAAAACACATGACCAAATATTGTTCAAAAAGACAAATATTTACTTTAGTAATCCTATCAGGATGTCTAGAAATGGACACTAAGCTCTCAAAGGAAATATAAAGTTCACAGGTGGAAAGAAATCGCCCAATAAAAGATATACAGGCCATAAAATTAAAAAAAAACTGCAAAGACTCCACAGAATACAAACTTCCTGCCAGATAATGACAGCTTCCTTTCAATGAGATTTAATGAATTTGAAGAAGGGATGCAAAATGTAATAATAATCTCCACTGCCCAAGAATAGCAATATTAATCTATTCATAATACCAAAGACATAGGTGAAACCATGAAAATTTGCAGTGACTTATTTTCACAACAAATCAGGCCTCACCACCAGTACCTTGAGACACTGGATCTCCATTATGCCTATTTCCACTGGAGGAACCTGCTGGCAGGGCTCCTGACACTGATCCTAAGCATCAGTGCTTGGGCTGGAATCTCGTCCTCTCCCAAGCTATCAAACCAATTAAATTTTAGCATGATGTGGCGGTTTCAGTTCGGAACCATGTGGAAACACCAATTTCGTGTAGTGGTTTTGATTTGCCAATTTGAGATTTCCCGGCCAACGCATCAATTTATGTGGTGAATTTAGTGCTGGCCAAATAGCCAGTGCACCCACTAGATTTATTTACTCATTCCCTGCTGTGAGATAGGATTAGGAGGAATGGCAAAGTAGGCTCAAACTTTAAAGGGTATAAAGAAAAACTTTATTAACAGAACTAAAAGAATCATACGAATCAAAATAAAATCTTCAGAACAATTCTCCCCTCTACTCTCTCTTTTTTTCTTTCCCCCTGACAACTTACAGAAACAATTCAGTCAGTTTATCACCTCTGTTACAGTCTTTCTTCAGTTCACTAAGGGAGAGGAGTCTCTCTTGTCATGCTATGGAGACTTCTCCACAAGAAAACAGTTCTCTCATGGGCTCTAGTTTCCACAAAAAGCAGCCACCTGGAAATCTACAACTGTAAAGTCCCTCCCATTTTCATAGCCTTCCCGATGCTGCATTCATGGGCCATGTCAAACTTATGGGGTACTATTTTAAGGATGAGCTGTTCAAAAGCAAAGGTTCTCTTTATCTATCTCTGAGATTATCTTAATCTCTGGGAACAGAGATCTTCTTTCCCTGGGGGCAAAGGGTCTTCATCACTCTTCTCTCTCTGTTCAACCTTCTCAAGGGATCACATCTACTTCAACATCTGCTTGTTCAGCATGGATGTCTTTGCTCATGTCTACAATGTGAATGCTCCATCCCTCCATGCTTTTTTACATGATTTACAGGGATATTCAGTGTATCATAGTCCATCACCATGGCTTACAAAAAATTTCAGCCTAAGCATCTCCTCATTCTGCACCCACCTGGGACCTGACTCCTTCTTTACTACCTTGGTGTCTTCATGTGGTTTCCCTGCATCTTCACTCTGTCCTTTTCTCTCACTCGAGAGAGGATTGAAGGTCTGCGAGTCCCATCTGTGCAGTGAAAGAGTTAATATCTTGCCCGAGGCCTGCAGATCGTCATGTGATCCCTGCCGAGCGGCCAGAGCTGTTTACGGTGTAGAATTCTTTCGCAGCCCGGCTGGGGGAAGCTAGGATCTTAGCAGCCAGGCTAAAACACAGCGGCATCCTGCTGTGGGTTGATGGCTTCCCCTCCCCCTGCCCAACAGCTTCTGGTGAAACTCAGCAGTGGCAGCACATTTCAGCCAAGGTGGAGGCTGGCCTGGATGCACTGGAGGAAGGGGGACGTTGCTTGGCCAGCACTGCAGAGGCAGGGCCCAGCCCTGCTGGGATGAGGCCCAGTGGGCTCCCCAGGAAGGGAAGGCCTGGCTCGCCCTGGCCTGTTACCTATACTCAGGCCGGAAGAAAAAGAGCAATTCCTGGGGTTTGTTCATTTTAAAATATGAATTCACAGGGTCGTTCTTAACTCTCTAATTGGCTTATCAGCATGCCTATTCTCAGAGACAGCCAGCAATTGTTTTTGCCAGGCATGGAGGAAGCTGTTAGCAGTCACTTCTATGGCTGGGCTCATTCCCTCCTCACCAAAACTCAACTAATGTGCAAAACTAGTATACATGAGTACCATCGAAAGCCAAGTGCAGAAGAATTCTCAGGCTCTTGAATCACAGGAGCACTGGTACCAGCAATTTTGAAAGTGCTGCGAAGGCAGCAACGGGTAACACGTAACATTTATGACAGTCAGATGCTATCACAGCCAAAACAAAAAGTCTCAGTTATGTGCAGTGCAAACTCCATTACATCCTACGTACACAGAGGAGGTAGCTGGTTGGTCTGGTTGAAAAGTGCAGCAGCACTGGCCCACAGGAGGGGTGCTTTTTTATTAAAGTGGCCCAACTACTGTCTAAGTCACGTGGAAGAGTACTTGGCCCACTACTAATAAATACAAGATTTAAGAGGAACAAAAAGAAACCCAGAGTCCCGAGCACAGATTTTGTGGTGGGAATTCAAAGGGAGTGGATAAAGGAAGAAATTAGAGAGACATGGTATGTGTGTGTGTGTGTGTGTGTGTGTGGGTGGGTGTATGGTTGCTTTTTCTTTTTAAACTTTCTTCCTCCACTTTAGAAAATAGTGATTTATATATTTACTGGATAAAAGACGTTCCTATGAATCAAACACTCCTGCCTAAGAGATTGAATAATAATAAAAAAAAGAAATTGTACTGCTCGACCAGCAGGCACAACAGAATTATTCACAAAAAAAAGGTAGAGCATTGCTTGACACAATTAAAAAGGAGAAACACCATAC